GTGACTTCCTCTTACTCACAAAGTCAATAAAAATAATTCTGATTCTGGGAATCGCGCTTGAACGATAAGATAAGGAGACATACTTCCAGATGTCTTAATCGTGTACTGTGAAAGCCTGTGTATCTGTGCTTTCTCTGATCATCTGTGCCATTACCACAATGCTTCCTCAGCCTAATTTAAAGTACAAATCTCAACGTTTCTCGCCATTACCTTTCCCCACCACCCCCCATCGCTGTATCAATGGTGTAATATTTCAGCTCTCCTCGTCTCACCTTCCAGTCTTCAAATATCCACCAGCCTCGTAATTTCGGGTAAATATCTTTAATGGAGTCAGTGACTTTACGGGAATCCACAGTCGTCTAGTCGGGCCTAGTCTTTTTTTTCCATCACCACAAACCTCTGCCCCAAGATGCCACTGGGTGTGGAGAAAAAACGTAAGAAGAGCAGATTGAAGCTTTCAAAACCTTTTTAATGTTTTGATGTAGACAGTGTAAAAGAAACATCAAATATATGTTTTAGGCTAATCAACAGGAAACCACTTGGCTTTTAAGGCCAATAAAAGAAAGAAATGTCCTCCTAAGTGCATGTGTAAACTATAAAAGGAATCTCATGTCTTTTAAATAGGTTCAACATGATCGTATGTATAAATGTTGATGTATTTGATTCAGTGTCATTTGCAGTGCCGGTGGTGAAATCCAATCTGTTCAAACCTTAGAAACGATCATAACACACCCAGCTAAAGCAGCCATCAAATAATGGGTTCAGTTGTAATTGTAATGTAATTCAGTTGTAAAAAAAACAAAAAAAACAATTTGAGCAAGACAATATGGTTGCACTAGGTCAAGTTATGAAAACTCTTGGAATATAAATGCCATTTTTTATTACTGTTTTGGAATGGGATATTGATTTCTAGAACACTTTAACAATCATTATTTTCTGGTCATTGTATGAAGCTCTTGTCTATTTAACACAAAATGACTGTTAGACGCTCAAAAAGTTTCTTATAATAATAATTACCAACTTTAAACATAAAAAAACATAACAAACTTTATTAGGAATGACTGTTGTTCAACTGTACTCAATCTAAAATGTTTGTTTGCAGAATTCAAAAGGATTCGACTTTGATCCCAAAATTGTGTTACACAGATTTCTAATTTGATTTAACGAAACATTAAAAAATGAAAAGGATCAGATAAATGTAATTAGTTGGAGAATTGGAGATACAGTAGGCCGTTGTTTTTAGGAATTTAAATACAAGCTCTTCTTTGGAAAAAAAATATAAAATTTCTAACAGTAGAAAACACACTTTCATTGTGGTATATAGTATAATCTTCCAAACAAGAAATAGAATAGCTCTGAATTGAGCTCTTAACTCACTTATCACTGACACATGCTAGCAGATTTCTGTCAATATCAACCACTCACATTGTTCCATTTCAAATCATCGTCAACTCTTTACCATTGACGTCAAGTATAACCACCTTAGGGTAAATGTCATGTGCTATGGAAGTGGTGGGAAATCCATACAAGCTGTGAGAAGTCAGGAAGGAATGAGGCGTTTGTAAGGTTTCTAATAAAAAGTGATCGATATTGGCCGTACCCAAGCTTTCTCACATTGCAAAACTCTAGCCCATATCACTAAGCATTTCAGATTTCTCATCAATCATCAATTCTACAATGGCATTTTTTCTTTTTTCTTCCAAAACCTAACTTACTCCACCCGTTTCTCTCACTCCTCATTGCAGATCAGGTCCATTGAGTGATTTATGGTTCCCCAACAGGCTGGTAAAGTAAGGGGGGGTGTAGACCAATGAGAGGGGAGGCTATGGGCCGTTTGAAGTACATGAAACACAGTCATATAAAATACACCTGGTCTATCCATGGAGTCCTGTATTCGCAAAAACAAAGAGGCGGGTCGGATGGAGAAGCGGCGAGGGTACGCGGGTCACGATGTGTTCCCTTTCAGAACTGGCTTTTATGGTGCAACTTCAAAGATACACCCCCCCGCCTCTCTCTTCTCTACCCCGGTTCTGTTTCAAGTCCCTGTTTCACCGGCCCCTCCCACCTCTCTCCTCTTTCTATCCACACCATTGTGTAAAAGCAAGTGGGCAGTAATTGGCCATTCTATCAGGAAGAGGCCCTTTTGGCAGGCTCTTTTCAGATCTCCGACTCAGGGTGCCAATGCTGCATGTGTGCAAATGACAACCACACGATCACATTGTGCTTAATTAATAGCAATAGATCATTTGTTTACAGAGAAGCAAGCAGGAGGAATAATTCTGGAGAACTAGGTGACAATTAAGAAAACATCGGTTTTGTTAAAAGCAAATAAACAGCTATGAAGCAACTAAACTGGTGATTCTAAGGAGAAGACTTCATCTTTCTTATAATGGACCTCAATATTGAGTAACTTTCAGGGCTCGGCCTTATGTTTATTCCTCAAAACATATCAAAACGGGTTGAAACAATTTTCCATATATAACATTTCTTCAACATCATTATGATCAGTCCATGCGCGATTCACAATCACTAATTCAAAGTTTGAATTTCTGCATAGCATGACTTTTGTATTTGAGTGAAAGAGGCAAACAATAGACAAAAGCTCAACTGGAATTGCAATAACACTGCTCTTCTCTACTAACAACAGTGTATGTTTTTAAGTATTCCCAGCAGTTTCACATTTGTGTAAAAGTTCTACCTCAGGGCAAACAACATTGCAGCAGTGGAACCCCATTAAATGGCAGTTGAGAGAAGAGTAACCTTCCACCCCAGCGTAAGCACAGCCGAATCAGTGCATGGTAAAACAAACCGGACAGCTGCAATAACGGTGACTCAGACAATCAGCAAACTCCAATGACTTGTTGACGGAGCAGGTGCCCACTCATGTTTATTTTTTTTTCGAAAGTAACTCTGCTTTTAAATGAGGTATATTGTTGTTCCCTTGGTAACGGGCAACCTACTATTAAGTGTAGCAAGAGTTCACTAAAAACAAGCTAGAAGGGTGAAACTATGTGCAGATTTTTGTTACAACTTCTACAGAACAAAAATATTGGTGAAACAGACTAAAGGACTAAAGGTAGAGCCCTGAAACTGAAAAAGATACAGGGCTACTAAAATCAATAAATATATTTAATACATATGAAGGGAAATGACTTTGAGAAGCCAGGTCGTTGTATAAACAGTGTCCTGGATTCCGAAGCAAATACAGCAATTCTACTACATTAGCTCATAATATTGTTTAAATGTTCAACTGACATCTAGTGGTATAGAAATACCACTAGATGTCAGTCTTGCACTCTCTCGTCATACTTTATTGTATCTTTCATGTTTATCCATACAATTTCTACGTAAATCAGACTAAAACAGTAAACATCTACGTTAATAATCAAGATCATGTTTAAATAATGCATAATACTTGTTCTTTGACGTAAACCTTTTCAAACAAGTGCCAAACAGCATGTGGAGACTGGCAACAAACATGAATCACAACATGTACGGTAGGTGATCTTGATGTAAACGTTCTCATTGTCTGGGATTAGTGCATTGCTGTGCTGTGATTGGCTATAGACAGTGGGGTATGGTTTATTGTTTGCATTACTGTTGTTTACACATAAATTAGTGTGATTATGTGCTGAAATCTGGATGGGGAAATATAGCCAGAAATGTAATATAGGCTCAATTGCATTAAAATAGCATGAGCTACTTTCAAGAGTTCAGGATTTCTCACAAAAAAGATATTAGGATTGATAACAGCACATTCTACAGTTGACTTCAGGCACGCAGACACACAGGAAAAATATTCAGGTCAAGTGACACATCTCCTCCACATGCTGCAGTTTAACACAGAAACATTTTCCTGCACTCTTAACATGAAGGTCGGTTACTTTTCAACTTTCAAGATGGAGAGACATTGGAGCACAAGATCCGCCCCACAGCTTCCTGATTGGACACAATTAATTTAATTGATAGACAACTGAGGCCCCTTCCCATTGGTCAAACTATTCTCCTTCAACAAATATTACTGGTGGTGGTTTTGCCAAGGGGAGGGACGGATTTTAATGTATTACTTATGAACAATACAAAGGGGTCAATGAAATAATAGCGAAGTTGCGGATATCACCTTTAAGTGGGTAAAACATATTTGGCTTCTCGTGATGCCATGTTGCTATAGCTCTGCTTTGTTAGTATTTCTGATATTGTTTTCCCTATTCGCATGTGACAATCTGTATGCAGTGGTATGAAAGTAACGGCCGTTCAAGCATCATTCATCCACTTATTATCTTCCCATTGAAATAAATGAGCGGATTTGGAGCTCGTCTGCAAAGGTGTGTCTGGAAGTGAGGTCAAATTCTATTCCTAGTAGCTGTAGAATGTGCTATTGTAAACCAGTCGCTCAAAACACCAGTTAGAATGATGTCCTTTGTAAAAAAAAAAAAAAAAAAGCTGCAAACCTTTTAGTTTAGACGACTGATAAAAACAACAGTAATTATCATAACACTCTTGAACAATTTTGCAGTTTGATATTCATACCAAATTTTCACCAAGTCTCGAAAAATAGTGGTATAAAGCTGCTGCACTCTGTCTAATGACTTGAGACCCTTTGCGGCATACAGACCAGTGTGCGTTCATTAATGTTGCAGGCCTGTGTGCATGTGTGTGGGTCAATTAGTAAGAGAAAAAGATTAACCAATCTCTCGAGACTTTCAATTTGCTCCATGCATGTACAAACCAGCCTGCTTTTAGTAGCAGAATTATCAAAAGCCGAGCTAAACCTTTTAAATTATGAGTTAAAACACTGTGGCCTACGCTTCTGGCCATCCCACGCACAGAATGTGATGTATACAAGGGTTTGAAAGGTTATCCTATGAAGATGTAAACAGAGACAAGTACAGAATAGACCATCTGCACAGACACAACAAACATAGTGGAAAAAATGCAAACAGGAAGCTTCCAAAAAAGCGACCTCCAGAAGTACACTAGATGCTGGGCATAGGTCCTACCTCTTGGTGGTTCACCTTGGGCTCCATTCTTTTCCGCTTTCTGCCCTTTCCCTGATGGCTCTGTCTGGGGAGAATCCATTTTACAACCTGCGGGAGAGAAGGAGAGAAGGAAGGAAGGAAGGAGGGAGGGAGAGGAGGGAGGGGAGAGAGAGGAGGAAGAGGAGGAAAGGTAAAGAGAGAGAGTGTTTTTTAGAGGAATTAAACAGCGTGGTGCAGCAAATGAAAGAAAAAAAAGAAAAGATTTAACTAATTATGGAGCAAGGTTGATTGGAGGACCTTTTTTGTGGCAAACAGTAATTAAACCAAAATAATGAAATGTTCAGTACTTGAGAAAGCATGTTAATCAATTTTCCAGGAAATGAAAAAAAAAAAACATCTTCAGAAGAGAAAGTAGAAAGCTATCTAGGTTACCAAAAATAGGAAGTTAGTAAATAATTTGAGATGTAGTGCAATTGTGATGCAAACACATTATACAAAATAAAATAAAACTTGGATCCATAATACACCTGCATAAAACAATTTAGCCATCGACGAGATACATTTCCCAGTATTGATACTTGCTCAGTGAATATCGATTGTAATACATTTGCTACACAATACTAGTCCACCCACATTTGAATAAACGTGTATATCAAAAAAACGAATTAGCAGATACAAGAATAATACTTCATATGTCAATTGCACAGGAATAACCTATAATAAAAAAAACATTGTATAGCTGGCCTGTTATATAGGTATAAAGTAGTACAAACAGAGTAGAATGAGAGAAATGCAGTGTTGAAGTCCCCTCTTATGAAAACCCTTAGGAATTTCATACGCAAACACGACTGTAACATAAGCACCTTTTTGTCGCACCAATCCATCTTCACCTCACAACTTTAACACAAAGACTGGGAGAAAAGTGCACAGTTCAAAGCATGCTTTTGTTTAAAGAACTCCTTACAATAAATCACCAGTCAGTGACACAACTTTACAATTTCAACTCCCATGTAAAAGGCAGCAGCAGAAGAATACAAGTTGGAGAGTCGTATCTTAGAAATGGAAAAAACACAGACGATATCAATGCTTGGATTTACTTTAAGTGTCATATAAAAAATAACAAAAACGGAAGAGCGGGAAGATCTAGAGAAAGCAATTAGGAGAGAGGGAGAGTGCGTTTATGGGAAATCTGAGAGGCAGCTCCGAATGACACGCAACAGATGTACAGCGCTGCGCCAGACGGAAGGAGCCAGAGCGCTGGAGAAAACGACTCTATGGGATGGGAACGGGGTGACAGTGATTATAATTCTGCTAAATGTGATATGAATAGGAACAGATAGAAAAGCATGTCAAAACATAAAAGGATAAGAGAGAATGAGAGAGAGAGAGGGGGAGAGAAGACAGCAGGAGACCATCATCATACCTCTGCTTGGACTTCTTGCACCAGCTTGGCTCGTAACCACACGGAGCTCCGGTCGCGCAGTCACTAGAAACACGGCGAGAACAAGAGTGTAGCAGTGAGCCGGGGGCGAGTGAGAGGAATGCTTGGTACAGACAGGCAGGCAAGGCAAGGAGAGGCAGAGCGAGGGATAGAGAGAGGCAGGAAGGGGAGGGCTGGAAGGAAAGAGAGAGGGAGGCGAGCACTTGTTCTCCGATGACTTAATTGTGTATTTCAGATTTTTGCAGCTGCAATAGCCAGGGTATGTACATAATAGAGTTGGATGAGTGAAGTCTTATAAAAACACAGCTACATGTGTGCGGGGTAGTCATCTTAAAAAAGGCATACATGTAAAATAATGCCACTCAACTTAAATGCCATCAGCAATGAGGTCACAGGAAATACCACTGTCTGCCTTTCTCAGCTGTTGCTATGTCCAATATGCAGAGTATATTATTTGAAAGACCAAAACAAAGTAATGGAGAACTGTGAAGAGAAAGCAAAATGATACATGGATGCGTTTGTTTTTATTTAAAAAAAATCACATAATGGGTTTAGATAAGTATTCAAACACCATTGTGGAACGCCCTTATGCTGCAATCACCTTATTTTAGGATATGAGTCAAAGTAAAAGCTTTTCACATTTAAAGACCGACACTTCTGCCCATTCTTCTTTACTAAACAACTCAAACTCTGCCAAATGTACGTTCATGAACCTATTCAAGTATTCCCACAGATTTTCAATTGGATTTTTTTTTCTATTGTCGTCTTTGTGTTAACGAAAATAGTTCTAATGTTAGGTAAACATCCACCCCAGCCTCAAGTCTCTGGCCGACTCCAACAGTTTTTCATCCCAGATTGAGATTTATACTGTATTTGCTCCACAGTGATTGGCCTCCTGCTGGGACTGAGAGGAGTACAGGGACTGAGAGGAGCACAGGGACTGGCCCTTTGCTGGTGCCTGGAGTAAGGACTAAACATTGAGAGCCAGTTTTATGCGTCACAAAGATGGAAGAGTCTTCCTGATGATGTTCGAATCAAATCGAGTTATATTTGTTTAGTCTGTGATTGTTTTAATCTGTGAATGTATGTTATGTTTGTAATATTTTTACTTGTATATATTTTTTTCCTTTCTTGTTTTGAAAATCACTTTAAAGTTGCCTTGTGCATGACAAGTACTATACAAATACTTGCCTTAATATAAAAATAACCAAAACCAAGTAAAACATTATACTTTTTTTTACTGTGTACAATGCAAGGTTTTTGCTGTATTTATATATTTATGGACATCAATAAAGCAGGAATGCGAACTTCACTCTTGTGTTACGTCGATAAGATTTAGCTTTTGCCTATTCCTTAATAAGACCTTATTTTGACCTTTTTTTGTGCCTGAAAAATGTATTTTTTAAATCAAAAAATGTCTGATATAAATTGATAAACTGAAAGTCCGTTTGGAATGCTTTGGTGAAGAAAAAAGGCCACTGCATTCTGTTTACATCTACAATATAACATTTTGAACTGCCATTTGGAAGCCAAAAGGAAGAGTTATTTAATTGTAGGACGATGACTATGGTCTATGTCTGTGCGTTTGCCTAAATGTGCAACTGCCAAGGCTTGGAGAAAGAAGAACAAAAGGAGTTTATTAGATTTAAACACAAGCCTCCTCATTTCACGATTAAAAAGCCCATTTTCACATTACAGCTGTAGTGTTGTTCCTAATTCCTTGCGACATCTTTAATCAAAAAAGTGTGAAGACTTCCCCATTAGAAAAAAATGGCTGCATTGGTTTGTACCTTGAGGCGAGCGCTATTGCAGCAGCTGCGGTTCAATTCTAAATACAAGGATAACGCTACAGGCTATCGTTTCCTGGACTGATGATACAAATATAAATACTAGATTGTTATTTTGGTGATGAAAGAAGTACATTATGACAGCAAAAACATTTGTAAATCTGGTAATAATGGTCAAGGACAAGCATATACATTTACACAACTATATATTTTTGGTACTAGAATTAGAAAGAAGCATACATTCTATTCTCTTTTTTATAATGCTAAAAATAGACTTTATACTTCTTCATTATGCTAAAGCTAGAGATGTTATACTTGCTTCTTAGTTAGTTTTTATTTTATTTTATTTTAGTATAGAGACACTAGTTTTAATTTCTTCTGTTCTGTAACTGGTGATGCAACATTGACATTTCCCCACTGTGCGACGAACAAAGGATCTCTTAATCTGCACGTCAAAAAAAATCAAAGGCTTTGATGCATCATTCCAGAATATGAGAGATTATGTCTACTGCAAAAACCTTAGACAAACACTGTGTTCTCTAAACACTTTGATGAAAAGATAAAAGACTAATTCACAATATGCAAAGCCTGCACATTATGGATATATGAGCCTTGTAATGCCCACATCAAACCCACTCCATTGCTCCTAATGGCAGTCAGAGGATGGCCAGTCACCTGATGCGTCTGTATGCAGAGCTTCCACCCACACAAGCTCAGTGTGTGTGGCCTTAATAAAGCGCTCAGCCTGATATTGTGCACACTTCAGAAGTCTGAATGTGAGACGCACAGGAGATGCTGGGGGGTAAGAGGAGCACAGCCACATAGAGGAAGAGACAACACTGCACTAAGAGGAACACTGTAGAGGAATGTGAATCATTTAAAAGCCATTTTCAATTGATTGCTAACCATAGTTTGATTCAATTTTAAACACACTTTCTTTATCACCGTGGGGCAATTCATCCTCTGCATTTGAACCATCCTGATGCCACTAGGGCCAGGAGCAGTGGTGGCCGTAGTACAGCGCCTGAACCCATATCCAGATGTTGATGCTCGGCTTGGTCAAGACCAGAGCTGGAGGATTTTACCTATTGAACATATTTTTAAGTGGTGCAACTCCACTCAGAAAGACCCTGTTCCGACCGAGATTTGAATCCAAGACCTTCCACTATGCTCTCCGCTCCACTATGCCACCCCTAGATTATTAGCTGGTCTATTTTAAGAAGATGGTATGGGCTTACATTTTATATAATACAACCATCAACATTTCAACAGACAAACATGATTAGAGTACACCCTCACAAATGAATTTTTAAGAATAAGAAATGGTAGAGCATTGGTCTTCAGGCCTAATGGTCGTGGGTTCGATCCCCCCAGACCTACTCCATCAACTCCCACTGATATCTGTTGTTGTTGTGTCCTTGGGCAAGACACTTAACCCCACTCTGCCTGAAGCTGAACAACCAAGGATGTGACAGAATAGTCATCCTGGAGGATCAGTGAGGGGCTCTGAGAATTGTGGCAGCTCTAATTGCCACCCCCCCACCGACCCAGAAATGGACTAAGGGGTTGAAGATGCATGAATCTTAGTTCATAAATAATTGTTTTACTTCAGCTTTCATGTTTTTGAATGTGAAATAATATATTACAACAAGTTGAAATTGTTGTTTTTTGCCACCAAATTTGAAAATTTGCAGCCATCAGCCATGTGATTGCTAAACCTTATGGCCAATACTTTTGTTTTGAAAGTCATAAAACTGCTCTAAGTGTGATGTCATGGCTATACAATCACATCATACTATTACAGGACAGAGACAAGAGCTTACAGAAAAGAAAGGGTGAAGTTGCATGTAAGTAAATTTAAAGCATATTTATATATATATATATATATACATACTCAGGAACGGAGCAAAGATCAGTCACCTCCTCTACATGGATGACATCAAGCAGTACGCCAAGAGCGAGAGAGACATCGACTCTCTGATCCAAACAACCAGGATCTACAGCCATGACATCGGGATGTCATTCGGGCTCGAGAAATGTAGCAGGATGGTGACTCGGAGAGGCAAGGTAGTCCACACAGAAGGGATCTCACTCCCAGAGGGAACAATAGCAGACGTTGAGGACAGTTACAAGTATCTCGGTATACCACAGGCAAATGGCAACCTCGAACAGGTGACGAGGAAAGCGGCAACTGCCAAATACCTCCAGCGAGTAAGGCAGGTCCTAAGAAGCCGGCTCAATGGCAAGAACAAGGCCCGGGCAATTAACAGCTACGCCCTGCCAGTGATCAGATACCCTGCAGGAATAATCAGGTGGCCAAAGGAAGAGATTCAGACCACGGATGTTAAAACTCGAAAGCTCCTTACCATGCATGGCGGGTTCCATCCCAAATCCAGCACCCTGAGACTGTACGTAAGCCGTAAAGAAGGAGGCCGAGGACTAGTGAGTGTGAGAGCCACTGTCCAGGACGAAACATCCAAACTCCATAACTACATCATGGAGAAGGCCAAAACGGATGACGTACTCAGTGAATGTCTCAGGCAGTGGCGAGATGAGGAGGTGCTGGAGGAGAGCCCATCATGGGAGAACAAGCCCCTACACGGCATGTACCACCGGAGCATAACAGAAGTGGCTGATCTCAAGAAGTCCTACCAATGGCTAGAAAGGGCTGGCCTACAGGACAGCACAGAGGCACTCATCATGGCTGCACAGGAACAGGCACTGAGCACCAGAGCGATAGAGGCCCAGATATACCACACCAGACAAGACCCAAGGTGTCGGTTGTGCAAAGAGGCACCTGAGACGATCCAACACATAACTGCAGGGTGCAAGATGCTGGCAGGGAAGGCCTACATGGAACGCCATAACCAAGTGGCTGGCATAGTGTACAGAAACATCTGTGGAGAGTATGGGCTGGAAACCCCAAGGTCTAAGTGGGAAACTCCTCCAAAGGTGGTGGAAAATGAGCGTGCGAAGATCCTGTGGGACTTCCAGATACAGACCGACCAAATGGTAATGGCAAACCAACCTGACATCGTGGTGGTAGACAAAGGGCAGAGGACAGCCGTGGTGGTGGACGTGGCAATTCCAAGCGATGGTAACATCCGGAAAAAAGAACATGAAAAGCTTGAGAAATACCAAGGTCTCAGAGAGGAGCTGGAGAGGGCCTGGAGGGTAAAGGTGACAGTAGTGCCCGTGGTGATCGGTGCACTCGGGGCAGTGACCCCGAAGCTAGATGAGTGGTTACAGCGGATCCCCGGAACAACCTCGGACATCTCGGTCCAGAAATGTGCAGTGCTAGGAACAGCAAAGATACTGCGCAGAACCCTCAAGCTCCCTGGCCTCTGGTAGAGGACCCGAGCTTAGAGAGGGATAACCGCCCGCGGAGGGCCAAAGGTGAGTGGACAATTTATTTTTACATACATTATATATATATATATATACACATATATATATACATTTATCATATATATATTTATATATTTGCTCCATTAATACGTTTTAAACTTCCTCCTACTCCTTTTGAGCATCATGTTCTGAGTGTACTCTTTGTCAATATTTGTATATGTATTTTCTTTGCAGTTGACCAACTCTTCGAGTTGAATGTCTTGATTGTATTTGAAAAGAACATAAATAAATAAGTAAAAGCAACTGCAGGTCTGTTTCTGATGAAGGAACAATGTAACTTGCTACAGATAAGCCCCGTCTCCTCATCATAGCATTTCATTGGAGCAGCAGCTAATATTCAATTATGCCTCATACTGTTGTAAAAATCACCATGTAACGATTTTGACAAGTATAGTTAAATGGGTAGGGATAGGTGGCAGGTGAAACATAGTCCCCAAGCCTCAAATGCAGGATTACTCAAACATGCAAGAATAAATTAAAATGGGTTAAGATCATGACAAGAGAACACCCCTTTAAATAGATAGTACAACCTTAAATGTGACTTTTGGAAATCAAACCAAAGCGGCTACCTCAAAATACACAGAGAAAATAAAACCTTCAGAAAATGGGCCATCCGTGGTCTATATCTGAATGTAGTCAAAGTGTGAGGTTTTTGTTTTGGTGCAGAACAGAGCACCCGACAGGAGCGCTGACAGTTTTGGTTGTATACATGTTTGATCATGCAAATTTCCCTGACATCCCGTCTCCTGAGTCAGAGCTGTGAAATCATTAGAACACATTGCATCGGTGTGGTCCTCTGCACATAAGGAGCAGTTTATCATCACAGGGATTACGGCACATAATTCCCTCCGTTAACTTGTGATCTCCGACTATAGCACTGTTACATGGGCCGTTGGTCCCCTCAGGACATAATGCAAATATGGTTAGTTTTTAAAGCCTTTTGGGAGTTGCGACGGCTGAAAAAAGGCAGACAGTGGTATTTCCTTTGACCTCATTGCTGCTGGCATTTAAGTTGAGTGGCATTATTTAGCATTTATAGCTTAAGATGACGTGCGTGCATCGGGACAAAATTTATCCATTTTGCTTTTGACCGCGAAACAGGTCAATTATGAGATGATTTATATCTGTCGTGCGTAAGTAAACATTTATTAAGTCGAGACAATATTATCTTGATAGATGGTTTGACTTGACATTTTCAACACAGATAATAACACCCACAAATTTGAAGTAAATAGAAATATAATATAATAAACCAGACAAAATGTAATGCTTCTGGAAACATTTTAAATGACATCAGAAAGATGTGTGTGAAAGCTTTAAAGAAGCTATACCCGATTTTTTTTCTAAGTAGTTCATAAAAATGCTTTTTACTACATACAAGTTGTATCATAATACATCATTTAATTGAAAACTTGAGGTAATTGATTCAGCTGTGTATGAATTACAAGCAGAGAAAAGTGCTGAGTATAGTCGTTCTCGTCCGCTCAGAGAACGAGCAGCGAACAGCCTGCGTCCTCTAGCCTCTACAGCGCTGCTACTGTAAATTGAACAAAATGATAAATCAAAAGAAAAGCTAAGATAAACTTTATTGATCTCACAATGGAGATATTTACATTTCACATTTGGCATAAATAGAATCACTCAGGTCATGCAAAAAGATAGGAAGTGTGCAAACATGTTAAAAGGTTAAAATCTTTTGTGCAAGATAGATTATGAACGTATTATATTATGTAAAATTAAATTAAAAAAGACTTTAGGAAGTCCCCCAACTAATAATCTGTCATTCCAGCCATAATTGAGTATAAGTAGATTGAGTTATCAGTCAACCATCTGGTTTAAGAGTTTGAACTTAAATATTGTGACACTACTTCATAATGAAAAATCCTGGCTTTAAACTGGAGTCAAATCTATTCAAACTATATTACCATACACGTTTATACAAATAAATTGACTGTATGATGCACCTACACCAACCCTATCATAGTCACTGTTGCCGCACTTGCTTACGAGGCCACAGCTGCCCTGGGGTTTACTCAATCATTAAAGCTCTAGACTTTAGGCCGACCACACTACACCACTCACCATGGTAACTGAAGTGAACCGGTAATGTAGCGTTACCATAGCCACACAGAGTTCAACAGTGTCACCCCACGCCTCAGTGCATTACACATAAGTACTCCAGCAGAGACGGAGGCATGAAGAGCATGAAGGTGTAGCTGGGAACAGAGAAGGAGGTGAGAGGAGGTGTGGGCCGCAGAGGAGAGGGAGTGCTGGAGCAGTAAATTGGCATTGTGTAACAAGATACCACACATAGTAGCTGTTTGTGCTGCTTGATCCCCACCAGCATTCCCTGAATAGCAAGGATTTAGTGTGTGTCAAATTCCGTCTAGTGTCCTTCTGTGAGAGGGGCACCTCCGGGGGATCTCCAAGAACATGTTACTCAAGTTCAAAAGTTGATCTATACAGCACTGGTCAGTAGTTACAAAGAGGGTAGCACCTTCATACAATAGCTGTATTGTCCAAAACACTGAATAAAAACAACGTAAATCAAAAAGTAAGACAATTAAAAACTTAGCCGCTTGATGTAGGAAAACAATTTTGTGTTTTGCAGTCACATCACAACAAATTGCCAGCTAACATTATTGGTGTGGGATTTCCCTCAACAATAAAGTCTTCCTGCAGATGTAAATGGTTTGCCTCAAAGTTCCACAATGGTTTTACAAGAATCTTTCATTTTTTACACAAACTTGTGTGAAGTGCTTTACACATTAGAATCACAGCACAGTTAAAGATTTTAAGATGCCAAATACACAACTAGAGTATCATTTCAAAAGTTGTGATCTATGTATTTACTAGAGGTAACATACTAGTATTAGCTCATCGGCATGTAGTTAGCTTTTTGTCTTCAGTGTAAATATATTTATTGGACTTCTATGCATTTGACCAGAAAGGTGGTTTTGATATTGGATCACAGGCTTGCTTGCATCTAAAAACTGCATAGATTAATTAATCCAGAAATGGAAGATATAGAGATCAAAAACAAAAAATCTTGAAGATATAATATACACTACAGCTGTAACCGGTCTGGAGGTTTCAAAAGCAGCATTCTCACAATTATTCGGTGTGCTAAGAAGGTAATGTAACCTGCTGTCTCTAAAGCTTTTTGTCTGAGGGATTTAAGGTGAACCAGAGTTTTCACGCGAACACAAGGGTAGAGTTACAGCCGTGGAGGTCCTTTGTGAAGAATGTACCATGTCCTTGTAGTTATTTATAAAGCAGCAATTTTAAGAATGCTTCTGTCAATGAGGCTATGAGCAATTTCAGTGATTTGTTTACATACAATTGATTAGAGTACAGGTGGATGCACGATAGGGATAAATGTGGCCATGAATATCTGTAGTGGAACAAATTCAAGCAATTGCCTGGCCAATTTCCGACTTTGAAACGTGAATGTATTTCAAAATGATACATTGCAATAGTTTTTTTGTGTTCATACAATGCATTCAGTTCAGAATTGTCCATTTTGTTTTAAGGGCAGGCATATGTGCAATCCTAATACTAGTCAACATTTTATTCTATTCTGACAAAACAATTACATTTTCAGAAACTAAGACAACACACTGTAATAGTCCCTTTTCAGCTCTACTCATATTGGCCAAAACCACAAGATTATTTTTCCACAAACTCTTAGTAAAACACATGTCTAGACAGAAAGCTAGAGCATTACATCTAGATTTTAGGGAAACTTCTGCTTTTAACAACACTATTTCTGCTCTGATAGTGGGAGTGCTTAGTCATCTAATCTGGAGTACTGCTAAAATAAGACAACGCTGACCAGTTCACATCACCTAGTGTATATTAAGATCTGTGGATGGCATTGTTTATAATTAGGATCCAAGCATTTCCTGCCTTAGAGAGGGGAGGAGACGTGGGATGCATTCCCAGGTGGAAAAAAAAGTTATGATAAAAAGGCTATATTTCCAAAGGGGCATTCCTTAACCCTAGCTAAGTTCAAGTTAATGCTGCTACCGGTTCACATTATGCTTGGCTCAAAAATCCACTCAGTTTGGTTCAAAGCGTTTATACTCTTCACCTATGAATGCTTTTAGTTCTTGAAATTACTGAATTACTACAGAAAGCACTATGCTGATGTGAGATATAACTTCAGCATAGTGATGTCATGTGTGTTTCTAATTCAAATGTAAAAATGTAAAAGTTAAATCAATATTGTGGCAGAGTTCAGGCAAAAAAACAATTAAACAGCTGCTGAACCGCAAATTTATTTTTTTACTGAAAATTGGTTTAACTGTGTCTAAAATAGACATAACTACAAATCCATGGTGTTTAATTGTTGATTGAGTGCATATTTGAAAAAAGCATCCTCTATCGGATGCATCACTCTCTTTGGGTTCAACTGGGGCCAGTACCATCGACTCAGTGGTTGGCTGAGAAGGCTGTCAATGATTCGGGGCCTCGTCCGGCCAGCTCCTGAAAGAATCAGAATCAGAATCTTAGGCCCGCCTCCATGGGTGAGTGACAGCAGAGCACGCAGATCGGCGCATGAGAAGAAGGAAGGGGCCGAATTCTGTAGAGCCGTGTTTATGGTTTTAGCAATCCTGCAGACGTGCACTTTTTTGAGATTTTTTCAATTTTGTAGTGGGCGGCGTAACCGTCCAAACATGTTGTTCAGCAGCTCTTTAACAAATGCATGGGAAAATATTAAGCATAAATAAAAAAAATAAAACAAAGATTTTAGATCAATCCACGTTAATATCAAGAACTGGGCACAGCCTAAAAGCACCTCTTTGTAGCATAATGAGTTACAGGCAGAGTTTACCCTCCATACTTAAGTCTTCATATATTTTCTACTTAAGATGTTCTTACTTTTTAAAATATATGGACAATTATCAACATTCATGGACATTGGTAAACTCCCCCTATGCACCAATACCTATGTGTTCTATATTTTTTGTGTTGATTCTCTGATCTGTGTTGACAATTTCATTGGTTTTGTTAAGTCCTCTGAGATAACTATTGCTGTGATTTAGGGCTATACAAGAACACAATGAATTGAACTGAAAAGACATACTGTATTTATTTAAGATATTAACCCACCAGCCATACAAAGTTATAACAGAAGGGAGCACATTATCCCTGTTTAGCATCCCTCCACTATCTCCCTGTGCGTTTTAGAATTTATTTTAAGATTTTGACAACTTTTAAAGCTCGTTACAAGGCTAGAGCCACCAAGACCAACTTTTAAATCACTTTTTAAAACGCTATTTGATAAACTTGCTTTTTTATAATCCCCTATTTGTATGATTTGTTTTACATCACAATGTAATAGTAGTGTGACCTGGCTCCGTTTAGGAATAACTGTGTGCTGTGACTCTCAAACATTATACAATAAAATTCTAAATTACACAACACTTCTTTCCGGTCGTAGAATAAAAAGATTTGTCCAAAACTCCCTGTGTGCATGGGTTATACTTTTTTTTATATTGTTTTTTTAAAGATCTGAACTGCCTTCTATTGTTGTGAAGCACTTTTTACTGTATGGTTGCCTCGCTTCTCTCAGCCCCAAGGCAGCTGTGGCTACAATAGTAGTTTATCACCACAGAGTATGGAGTGAAAGACATGTGAAGCGTCTTTGAGTGTTCAGAAAAGCGCTATATACAACTGATGCATTTTTACTAGTTGGTGAAAGTTTGCAGATGAGATGGTGCTAAGTAGGTAGCAGGATTGTGCGTGGGCATGGGGGGTTAATTAATATCAGTTACCATGGCTACTGAAGAAGGCAAAGAGGCCATTTGAAAGTGGATTGATTGAGCGTGAGAGTGCATCTTTGAAATCCCACTATCCGCTGTCCTGCTGGTCAATGTGCAATGATTCTGGGGGTGACGTGTTGCGCCTAAAAAAAGGCCAACGATCAACAGAGATAGGTTACACAAACAATCATTTATTTTAGGCTGTAATCTTAGCCAGGGAAAATCAAGTCTGTTTGTGTTTCTAAAGCAGAAATAACCAGGGAACTGTACTTTCAAACTTCACCCTCCCAGAATGGTTTGTTATCAAAATAGTGTTACGTCATACAATAATAAATGAATATAATATGAACTAAAATTGAGAATCATATATTAAGAAGTAGGCGTTAAAGTAAATAAATATGTTTCAAAACCATAAAAGCTGGAGTACAGAAAGAGTAACATTTTGCGAACAAAATCAGACCACAGCATGCTATCTTCATCTTGTTAGCAAATATGTTATCCTTTGCATACTTAAAAAAAAAAAACCTTGAGGGTAGATCTTTCTTTTTCACTTTTGTGTCTGTAAAAGCTGATCTAATGATGTGACACAGGCTAAAAAATACATGCCTCCTGTTTTTAGATTGTATTACTTTTTTGTAATTTAATTTTTGTGGTTTGGAAGGTAGGTCCCCCCAGTTTTAATATATTGTTAAAAAGTACATCTCTCTGAAATCAGTATTGTTCCAGCCATGAAAGCGAATAAAGCGCAAGTAGAAGGATGAAGTTTGCAGGGCTGTCAAGGTCAGTGGGGGATTTGTCTGAACCAAAAGCAAACAGAAGAACCAAAGGAGTCGGATAACCCTTTAAAAATGGAAAGATGATTAAACATTGAGTGAAAACAAAAGGGCCTGGTATATGGAGCTGTACCATGCCTGTATTATGCATGCTCATACCCAGCTATGTGCAAAGCTACATTGTATTACCATAATATTAAGTATAAAGTTAAGAATAAAAAGTGCCCATACCGTTGGAATTCCCGGGCGATCGAGCCAGTCAGCATAAATAGTGCTGAGGGTCAGGCCTTTCCTGGAACACAGTAGAACCAATATTAAAGTTAATACCTATTATATAATTTCAGCAATAAACATTACTTCCACATCATGTAAAGTCATTTGAGAAAGGTTGCATCATTAATTGTTCTGCTATGACTCAAAGAAAACCATTATTGCTGAGAAAATTAACATCTGGGAATTTAATAAGTGGTTTAAAAAAAAAAGTCTTAATCAAACCTGGCAAACACCAGCGGCGTGCAAAGCTTGTACATTGATAAAAAAAAAAAACCTCTTGTACATTGTCGAATCATATATCATTCACAATGCAAACATATTGAGCAGCCAGACAAACAGCGTAGTCTCAAGCACACATAGGTCCCTACCCCCCCATCATCAACCCTGACTGCTTATAGGAAAATTCCACAATTGAGAGCAATTCCGCTGTATTAGTCTTGTCATGTTCTGCCAATTAAATAGGAAAAATAGATTTTTTGTGCAGAGATTTTCCTCCAGCGATTCAATCACACTTGTTCTCACTACAAAGCTATACATATCTTCTTAATAGAATGTGAATAATAATACATCTGTTTTATATGGCACGTTTCTAGACACTGAAAGACGCTTCACAGCATTATTCACTCACTAATACACGGTGTAATAAACTACCGTTGCCACAGCCGCCCTGGGGTAGACTGACAGAAGCGAGGCAACCAGTATATACAATGGGCACCCCCTGACCACCACTAAGCATTCACACACACCAGACTTATAGTAGGCAATGTGAGTGAAATGTCTTGCCTAAGGACACAAAAACAAATTAGCAATTTAGAGGCACTTCACTGTGGCGTTCTTGTTTTTCTCAGAGATTTCCCATCACAGTACTAACCAGGCTGTCTTGTTTAGCTTCTAATGCCTGCCATGATCAGGCCTTCACATACAGGGGATGCCACCATGATATTAGATGTAGTGTATTACTGGATTTTTTTTTACAAACACAGAATTATAATTAACACAAGTTTCGGTGAATGTAAAGCATTTCATTGTGGTTGTGGCTTCATACGAGTCTGAGCAAACTGTGAGATAACATCGATGGCCTCAAGAAAGCTGTTGATCCAGACAACCAGCCTAATACGCTGTGTGTGGACAAAAACAGTGAGCTCTGCAAAAGTCATTCATCCTCAGAGCTAATCATGCAGAATAAATACAACTTCCAAAGGCTCAATGAAGGCGCCAAGGAAGGACATATATCTCTTTCCTGTCATTTGTTGGTCTCCGCTGTCTGCATTTATCAATTGTGTACTTTTTTGAAACCAGTGACTGTAGCAGAACAACCTAAATCTTAAATTGCATGCATGTTACAGAGTGTATGTTTTATGTTAAGTGGTACAGTCAAAAAGTCTGGTACAGAGAAAAAAGTTAAAATTTGCCATTAATTTTTTGCCTTACAGCAAGAACTGTACCACACAACACAACAAATATACAGAATGAAGAACAATACAAAACAGAGTCTGTACAACATATAATTATTATACAAGACTCAAAAAGGAGTGGGAAAAATTAAAAGTATGTGCTCCCACACCCTGTTCCTACATTTCTTTACTTAGCTTAGTTCCTGGTCTCTTTCGAAGGTTTTCCATATTACATGTGCCTGTTTTTACACTAAACTCTAAGCCTAATAAAGACCATCTAGATAGATCATATAGACAGTGTTCCCTAGATTTAAAAAAAATATGTCAAACTATAATAACTATAATAATATAATATGTAATATATATAGTAATGTATAATAACTATAATATGTCACTTAAATGCTATTATGGCATGTTATACTTGATTTTGTATAAGTGTAACATCTAAAAAATGTGATCATTGGCCTATCAGTCTTCAAATAGATCTCTTCTTGATATTTGGCTCAGTTGTGATTGAATCCAAACTTACCAGACAATATTACACAAACTCATGTCAAATACGGTAATACTTGTATTTACATTTAACCCCGACCAAAATGAGTTTGACATCACTAGTCTAATAGCTCTCGTCTCTGTCCTGTACTAGTATGATGTCATTGTACCGATATGATATCACATTCAAAGCATTTTTTCTGACATTCGTATGTATTTTTGCCATTTTTTGGCAACGTGAACTTACATTCTTTAAAATTGCATTTTCAAATTTGGATAAATCAAATCATTCCTCTTGTGGTAGCAGAGGGACCTACAGGCGGAAAGATTTTTTGCCCTTCATACTTATTTTGCCATACATTTTCTACTCAAGTTTGTATTCCAAATTAAAAAATATGAAAAGGCAAAATAGTCTCAGTTTAAATTTTTATGGCCAACAATAATGCACAATATTTCTTCTTTAACAGATTCTCAAAGATAAAATAAAATTGGATGTTGTTGGATCTGCATGGGTTTACCTGTGCCTTGATAGAGGTCTGCTCCTGCTGTTGAGTCAAAACACATTGACACAGACTAAAGTCACTTGCATCTTGGCTCAAAGTAATCCTGTATTCAGCTCATAAGAGAACATCTGCTGCGCTGATACGGAGACACTGCATAGCCGGATTACAGCGGATTATGTCAGCATAGTTTCTTGTGTGGCAAACAAAACACTAATACACTTAATACATTACCTGACCTGTCATACTCTGGGTAATAAGACTAAAGCACAAATGCGCTTTAGGTCTCCCGAGAGCACGAAAGCTCCACTCGCATTTTCATGTTGCTCCACTAATCTTGTTTTAATCTATTGGTTATTACCTTAATGGCGTTTGGATGAGAACCTACTGCTGTTTGATGCCTGGAAAATGGCGGTTTCCTGTTAGGGGCAATCAATAACTACGCTGTGAAGTTAAAAATGGCAGCTCTCTGTTGGAGTGTGTTGTTTACTAAAATAAGCATTGGACACAGAATATCGAGTGTAATCAGGAGTGCTTTTGACGTGGTTTGGAGCCATGGTCCTTCCACAATAACGCAGAGGAGAGGGGCCGAAAAGTCAAGCTGAGGAGGAGGTTAATGAGCCAATCAGGGGGAATATAGATGTGAATGATGAGGCGTGCGGAGGATGGGGTAAATTGGAGAGGAGGAGAGCAGGAGGAGCAGCTTTTCTCTTGCACTGGATTACTGCAAGAGAGAACGGGACCACTGCTGCAGGGGGCCGTGCTTTCACAGTGGGACACGCGCACTGTAGCAGAACCAAAGCCAAATTAGCACACGCCTAAGAAGTAATTTCATGTATTTTCCCAGAAATAATGGGAAAAAACATAATTTTGTTCTGATGTTGGGGCTTCCTGTTCAGCTATTAATGAGGAAAATCGATTTAAAGTTTTATAGCGGCACAATAACTATGTTCTTCTCTGTAGTTTTACTGCGCCAATGGGGCCAAACAGAACTTATGTGAGAGCTTACACAAATTTATGTGAGAGGCCTTCTTGAGGATAATCATATAAATGTTTTGATTTAATCAAGGACTGTTAATTAATGAATTGATTGATTGCAATTGATGCAAAGAGTAATCGATTCATTGGTTTTTGAATTATACCTGGACCAGAACATGCAAAGAAGAGGTTTCATGACTCAGACAGTGCTATAATTACTACAGATTTACATTTTCCGTTTTCAAAAAGCATTTATAATCACACAACCAATTTTGTTATATCTAGTCTCATCACTTTAGTTTTGCTTTGATTAAATTTTTCAGTTATTTTATTGCTTAATTGAAGGACGTTTATTATCAAATGAATTGTTAATTACAGTCCAAGATTCATCAAGTGCTTTTGTAGATTTGAAAACGGCATGTTGCAGTTTTCACCTCGCTCTTTCCACACTCTGTTGTCCTAAACTAAGGTAACAGCCAAAGTAACAATGCGTAAGCAATAGAAACCCCTAATATAATACAACAATATAATATGCTTTATTAATTCACGCTATAGCAGACCTGGGAAAACTGTGTGCTAGGGGCCACATGTGGCTGATATTGTTCACATATTTTAATGAATAAAAGGTTTGCAACTGAACATGTGCTACCATGGGCCAGTTAAAAGCTATTTGCTTCAGGAGAACAACATTATTTTTGTACTAAACAAACCCAAAACATTATTACTAATTTTTCATCAAAAACATTAGTCCAGTTCTCAGGTCTCTGCACTGGGTTCCTGTGGCTCAGAGAATAGACTTCAAAGCAGCTCTGCTTGTGTACAAGTCTCTCCATGGCCTTGCACCGGGGTACATCCGAGAGATGCTAGAGCTATATGAACCCGTTCGGACTCTGAGAAGCGCAGGGACTGGCCTCCTGCTGGTGCCCTGAGTCAGGACGAAACATGGGGAGGCAGCGTTTCAGATTTATGCAGATAGGATATTGAACGCTCTTCCTGGGGTTGGGAGACAAGCCTCTACCCTGACCATGTTCAAAACTAGGCTGAAAACATATATTTTTAGCGGTGCATACAACTGACTGATTCTATTTTGTACTACTTATTACTTTTATTGTCCTTTTTAAACCCACATTTTTAATGTATCTTAAACCCCATACTGTTATTCTGCTCTATTTTAATATGAAATATTTTTTTATTGACTTTTTAATGCATTTTGATCTGTTTTTAAATTTTTCTTGTGCATCACTTTGAATTGCCATATACACAAATTGTGCAATACAAATAAAGATTGATTGATTGATTTATCTATGAAAATATACTATGCCTTCTTTACCAAACATTTATCTTTAAACCCATTAACAATAAATTGATAATTTGCTCAAAATTCCTTCATAATAATAAAACAAAAACCGTAGATGTCATTATACAAACAGGTCCTGCGCCCCACAAAATGCCAATATCACAACGCGCCCCTAATATAATCTCCCACCCCGACACTGTGGTCTGAAGTAACCAGAGCTGGTCCCGGGCAAACTGACAAAAACTGAGGCTGAAAATCTGCGCCAACGACCCTCCGGCCGCCATTAATCACTGAACAGACTAATGGTGAAAATAAGACATTTCACCCTGAATTACAGAAACCAATGCATTATGCCAAACAATCCTAATTTACACAATCAAAGCATATTTTGTCCAAAAATAATGAAATAATAAATTAGAGTCTAAATTTTAATTAATTTTTCATGTCTTCCTCTAATTGCTCCATACCTCTTCATAGTATTATCCAGACAAGGCATGATTTATTATTAACCAATTAGCCTATGGCCATTAATCATTGTGGCATACATACCGCTCGATGTCGGGAAAGGTAAACAGCACCATTTTCAGGAAGTCCTGTCCAAAAAAAAGAGACGCAAACAAAGATGTGTTAGCAGCCAACGTAGGAGCAGAGCCAGAGAGAAAGAAAGGCGTAACTGATCTGGAGACGGGAGGGCAAGGTCAAACGGTGTTTATACTTGATCCATTATTTAGAGCGCGGACTCCGGCTGGTGGTGAGGAAACATAAGCCAGGTGGAACTCATCCCATGTCAAACGCACACACACACAAACAGGTGCAGGTGTGATCCTTCAGCTGGACAGAGCTCAGTGAGCAGCATATGCCAACTGCTGCGTGCCAATTTAAGATGCAACAGGAGCCATTTTACTGCAAGCATGAGCAACAATCCTATGGGTGACCAAACCATAAGTTTATAACATCCATATGCATATTTTAAACATTGTGTTGGAGAATAATTTTTGTCAACTAGTGAACTACACAAAATATGGTGCAGTTTAGGGTCCCACACCTGCTTATATCCATAGGAATCTTGTTTCTTTGCATTAAGTTGACTAGTTTAGTAGTAGTTTATTTGTTCAGTCATTTCTTTGAGTTTTTCAGCTATTTTTTTCAAACAATTTTCATGAAGCAATGACTGAAAAGATTCTGTTGAATATCATTAAACATATAAATCCCTACAGAATCAAAAGGGTTATGCCACTTGTGTTTCCGACCTCGCCTGAAATTCTGCCAAGATTCGACACCTGGCCTTTGCTACAGTGAGGAGTTAAAACATTTTAGTGCGTAACCCACATGCACCAGTTTCAGTGGTGGTAGTAGCTTACGACTTCCAAGTGTGACATTGCATTTTGTGTATAGAAACCTCTGCACTGCTAGTATTGAATGGTAATTTCTGAATTGTTGATTGTATTGAAAATTAACTATGTCAAGATGCGTTTTGAACTTCCCCTGCTCCTTTTGAGCATCAAGCTTAGTGTTTTAAAGGAGAAGTAATAAACAAAAAACATTTGAGCTTTTATCCATTTTATAATTTTGTTCATCAAGACAGTTTAGATCCATCTATAGCTGTATTTGCAGGTGGTTTGTATTTAATTTCCTCTAATGGTAGCATAGACTGATAGGAGTGGACTGACCGAATGCTGACATCCCCCATAGTGCTATCCTTAATGCAGAAGAGGCCGATTTGAACATAAGCTAGCTGGAGCCAATTTATGTATGGGCATTTATTCTGCAGAAGTATTGCAAAGGCAAGCTGGAGTTTCTTCACAAAAAAAGGCATCGGATTGGTCTATCTTTCTGGATTTACAAAGACAGTATCAAAACAGAAAACACCAGGCTCAAAGTGAACGCTAAACCAGATTATTAGAGCCCAAAATGGTGAGTATGACACAATCGGTTACTGAGATAGTGAGTGAGCCTCTAAATACAGTCTTTTTTCATGGTATATTTTCCACGTTAGATATTATTTCATATTTTAAAACATGAAATGACAAAGTCAATATTCATAATTTTTATTTCTTTAAAAGATTCTCACAAATAAATAATACAATGTCCAATATTTTCAAATATGGACTGCATAATGTAAGGAGTGATCTGATATCTGTGACAGATGGCTGGTATTAACACCATATAAGGATGATGTGCGGCTCTTAAATCTAACATGCCCTACTTCATCTACTGTACGTGAGGAACAGCTCAATTGCAGGTGATTTTTAGTAACCTCTTAAGATAATGATACAAAGTGTACATGAATTATAATCCCAAACAATTGTGTGATCTAAAAATGTTTGTCGAACGGCCCATCCCGCCTTGTCGTTCACTCAACGTCGCATCCAGGTGTAAACGGCCCCAGAAGAGCGAGCATATGCCCACAGCTAACACTGCAATTTCAGATGCAGCTGTAGTCATTTCAGCTATTGTAACGCAGCCTCCCAATTAATTTATGGAAATAACACAGTGCCTTAGAGACGGGTCATATTAAGAGGTTCATAGTGGAGCATGAGTTGTATTAACAGGCTCTTGGATGGCTGCGAGTCAACATGCAACACAGGCCGTTAAATTAATTGAGTGGATTGGGGTTTACCTGAGAGAGGATGAGCTGCCCGTGGTACTTCTTCACAAATACCCGGAAGAAGTCGATGAACTGTTGCTTTCCGACTTGACTGGCCAAAAATGTGAGAAGGAAGAAGCCCTGCAAAAGATATCACTTATTAGGTAGGTGAGGTCTATTCAAATCATTGTGTACAAAACATGTTGCGGATATATCCAATAGGACTACATAATACAGTCTTTCTCAATGATGGCTGGGTCTTACAGGATCTACAATAATCTCGAGCCAATGCCAGAGTTTAATTAATCTGAGAGCAGCAACATTGCGGTGTCACACCAGGGAAGGACTTAAATTCATGAACATGCACGCAACCTTCTATGAAATTAAAATTGTAGCTGTAATGTAGGGCTGGGCGATATGGCTAAAAAAACAAACAAACCCGATTTTTTATTTTAATTGATTATTTTTTTCTTTTTAAAAACAAACTACAACTGACAAAATTGATTTTTCTTTATGCAGTTTAATTTCCCCATGTAGCATAAGTGCAACAGGAAAAAAGTCTTAAAACATGCTTGTAAACAAGAGGGCCCTGCCATTGTAAACAGTGAAAATGTAGCTTATCAGTTTTCTAATAACTTCACTTTCAGTGACACAATGCACCTACATGGCAAACGAGGGCTATGGCAAATATATCAATCGTATTAAACAAATGCATTATTTACACTAAATATCACATTTTTAAAACTAATGATTACTCTAAATCCAATTGTTATAACAGAGAAAGTCTATTGCAAAAGCCTCCTCCTTGGGTTTTCATTCTTGTTCTTTCAACCGTGCCAGAGCAACTGTGTTGTAGTACAACACTCAGTCCAGCAGGTGGCGCTAATACTAACTTCAGTGACAACCTCAGGGGTTAAGTTAAGTTTCCGTTTCTCTTCCGGTTTACATTCTGCTACCGTGGCTAACAGCTCATGCATGGATCGCGTTGTTTTTAATCAGAGAAATGTGTGAGATGTGTCTTTCCCCAAAGTGCAGCGGCTCATTGGGACATATGTGTGTGCTGAGAAAAGAATAAATGAGAATGAAAAGGTTGGTGTACGAGCAGAGCGACCGGAGCCAGGCAGGAAACAAGTGTGTTATTGCAACAGCACCACACTGTGACGGGGTCAGGACAGAAGGGAGATCGTTAGCATTAGGGAGTTGTCAATATGAGTCAACACCCGCGGTTAGTGTGTTAGCACTGTAGCTCCGTGCTGGAGAAGAAGTCCAGAAGAGTTGATTTTCATTGTCCACTTCAGTTGACCCATCCTGCAACCTTTCAGGAGCAGTCATCCCAGAGACCCACCTCCAGATGTTTGCATTCATTCCATTTTTGAGTGCATTAAATTGCATTTTAAAACATTCTTAATGATTTCTGAAAGTTCACACCTTGCCCTAATGTTTAAATAGAGCCTACTTGTGTCTAATCTACTCTCAGTGTAATTATAGCTATAGTCAGAGTGTATTGGTCAATAAACAGAACCATCAAGGCCAAGGAGCACACTAGAGAGGTCAGGGATGAACGTGTGTTTATAGCAGCGCTAAGTTATGCGTTCAGGAATGGAAAAAATAGGGCACCACTGCAAACTAACCAACACACTGCCATCCACATAAACTAAACAACAAAATAAAGAATTTCATGCAATGAGGATACTTTTCTTCTGCGGGGACTGGGAACTTCTGCAAGCCCTACTTTCCAGTTTTATGAAAAATAACATAATGCTGTATCATCTGTTACATGTGTGTGTGTGTGTGAACTTTCAGTCAAGAAAAATCCAAATAAATCTTCATGTTTATGGTTGCCAACATGACAAAATTTACAAACGTAGAAGGGAGGGAAACGGCATATTTGCAACTTGACATTTTCAATCACATTTTTTTTTTAACAAAAACATTTACACTGGCAATTTAGTAATTAGATCAGCTGACTCCATGAGCAATTGTTGCTATTTAATTTAAGAAAGAACCAATACTTGGATAGCATCACATTCAGAAAATTTTGGGATATTTGGGACTTATCAGCTTAAATTTATTCTTTAGAAGTGTTTTTTATTCTTATTTTTATTATCTCTTTTTGACTGTTGCACTGAGCCAAAGCAATTTCCAAGTCTGTGACCTCCCGTTACTTACGTTGGCAATAAAAATGATTCTGATTCTGATTCTGAAAACTCACATCTGTTGAAAGCCTTTTCTGCCTCACCTTTAGATAATGGACTTGGTTTTGTAGAACAATAATGCTTGCCAATTGTTTTCTTGTTTTTTTAATGTTTTGTACTGACATTCCACTTTCTGTTTAAACATTTGCTTTTTTTGTTCATGTAATTGATAATAAAACAATCAAGACTAGGATTTTTCATTTTCTAGTTTCCTGTTACATTCCTTACTGTTATTTCCTCATTTCCTTCCTTCAATAGACTCACCTTTAGATAATGGACTTGCATGAATGTTTTGTCCGGGTTGAGAGCATGTTTGACTGTGGACGATCCAGACTCATTGACTGCACCAGTACTGTCCAGGTTGGGTCTGAAAAGAAAAGACGCAACAGCATTTCTAAAATAGAAATAAGAACAAATCCAAAAAGCACAAATGATTAAAAAAAGAAAAAAAATGGCATAAAAAGGTGGGCTCTGAGCTCGAGGTTGACCAATATGTTTTCTCAGGGCCGATACCCACAATTAGAAGTCACAGAGGCCAAAGACAGATTTATATAGACCCATTATGTATGTTTTAAGTATGAGACAGGTGTGTGCATGAATGCTTGGTGGTTGCCTCTGGTGTCTGCCTCAGGGCAGCTTTATCAGCACAGTGTGAAATGTCATGAAACCGCTAAATAAAACAAAGGCATTATTATTATTATAACAAGATGAAAATATTGTTGGCCAAATGATGTCATTCATTTAAATGCCTGAAGCACATTATCCTGGAAATACCCAAGCTTCTGTGTGTGCTCAAATTAACTTTGAAGATGTAGTTTGGTGCTGGCTAAAAGCGCATTGTTATAAACAATGCAGACAAGTTAAATGGTGATTTATTCCATTTTATGTACAGGCTGATCAAAGAATGGCTAATGAGCTGAACAATAAACACCAGTGGTGAGAAAGAGCTGTGGCTGCTTTTAGTTAATCTGATTCACTAAACTTCCAAACAGTCTGCAATAAGTAGTACAACAACTCCCACAAATGGACTACAATAACCATACATACCATTCTCTGCGCCAATTTTCATGAGAATGAAGATTCCTTACGAGCTCATTGATGCTGGTTTGCTAAACAAGCTAACAAAGGAAGCATAATTGTTCGTCTCCATATTCTTCCTTCAAGGACCAAATCACAAGTGGGTCATTGATAAGGAAATTATTTTTCTATTAAGCCAATTTTCATGTTCGCCTTTTGGTCAGGTGGTCAATTCAAGAAAATATTAGCCCTTAAAGTTTCAGGATGAGTTTTGTGACAAATATGAAACCATGTTGAGAATACTGGGCACATGCTGACACTCGACTTCTCTTTGTACAGAATTCAGTAACAGACCCACCTACACAGTCGCATGTTAGTCACAGTAAATCAGCGCACTCTTTGGCCCGAGAGCACGTAACTGCCAACATGCCCTGCTTTGCTTTAGGCTGGAAATCGAGAGTCAGATTTATGGGGGCAAACTGCAGCATTTATGTGACCTCACGGCCCAGACTACAACCTGTGAATTTCTGAGCCTGTGGCTGAAGTGACCAAAGCTGCAAGAACAAGGAGTGATATTCTATCCTCACAGACTTTGCGTTGTTATGCTTAATTTAAGGGCGACCTTGGTCTTCAAAAATGCAATATATAAATAAACAATACATTACAATACATACATTTTGGTCAACTGCATTATTAACTTACTTATTTTAGTACAGGGCTGGTACAAGTTTAACAACCTGACCGATCTGGGCAATAACTAGAAACTTATGTCAGAAAGTGCAATATGAAACCACAGGTGTCCACTGTCACCTTACTTCGTCACTTAGTCCCTTAGTTGCTTACTCATATCCTCTTGCTGCCAACTTGTACAGATGTATACAAAAAAATTCTAGATTTCTTGCACTAGAACAACCTGCCTTTTATAGTTCCTTCTTTTTAGCTAGCTATACACACACACACACATATACATATATAATTATATATATATATAATTATATATATATATAATTATATATATATATATATTATATATATATATATTCATTTTATTAGCCATATATATAGCACACGACACAAGATACATATATATATATATATATATTAGGGCTGTCAAAATTATCGCGTTAACGCACGTTAATAAAATTTTTTCATTAATCGCGTTAAAAAAATTAACGCATTTGACGCATGCCAATGCGTCCCATAATAACACTCACAATGCCGCGGACACATGCGCGTGTAAGATGGGGACAGAGCAGGTAGGCCCTCTGGGAATTCAAGTTTTGAAAGAATACACGCATGACCGCGGGGCACTTGTTGTTTCCTGTATGAACTCTGCATGATGAGCTGCGGCCGCGACAGCGCTCTGGAAAGTTCCCACTTCCAGCGGCTGTGATCACGGCGAACGGCGCTGCGTAACGGGATCATATCCAAGACCACGCACAGAACTATTCTTTAGTGTGCGTACGTGTCTTTGCGTAACCGATGCACACAATATGTACAGCGCTGAAGCTGGACTGCGGAGCCTCAGTCTCCTCCGTGTCTTCCCCCGAAGTGCACTCGCTAAATTAAAGCGGAGGTACCTAATTTTCCTTTCGACTACCAGTTCATGTTAGTTGTGCCAGAAAAAGTAATGGTGTGAGCAAATCAAACAGATTTAATGACATTCTGCATTTCAGACTGTTTTGAAATGTCCCTCATCTGTAACAAACAATGGTTTTGGTCTGAGTCTAAACAGAAAGACAGAATGTTAATAATGTTAATTCCATTTTATATGGATTTATTGTTATAACAAACAAATACAGTACATATGTTCACTAAGCTGTCATACAACAATTTACAGAAAAATATGGCATAATTTTGCCAATAGCTTGAAAGCTATTATAGCGATTAATTACGATTAATTAATTTTTATGCTGTAATTAACTCGATTAAAAAAATTAATCGTTTGACAGCCCTAATATATATATATATATATATATATATATATATATATACTGACGTAACAATAACTCTGAATAGAAATCTGGAACACAAACAATCTGAATAGAGTCCCACAGATAAGGATAGGACAGGATGCTGGGCCATGATAGTTGCAGTTAGTGCTATTGATTGGCCAGAGCAGATTAACTCCATGTGTCGATGGGAAGGCCTTGAAGGATCACCCGCCCTGCTGCGTCAATACACCAGGCGCCTCTCTGCTGATCGATGGCCCTTTCATCACCACGCGCACACGCATAAACCCAGGCACAGGCCTCCTCAGAACAGCCTCCTGTTATGAGCTGGGTGAGAGCTACAAGTTGGCAGGGCTGACCTATGTTGGATGACAAAACAACTTCCTAGCTGTTAGAAGCAGTTTCAGGACATGTTTACAGAAGTGTGTCCTCCCCACAAAAGATTCCATGACAATGAAATGGGGGGTGTTTTTTTTAATCTCTCCCAGAATTTGATCTTAAATAGACTCGAGTATCAAAGCAACAGGAGCAATTACAGGGCAGCACTGTGGTCTTGGCAGAAACCAGATATGAAAACAATTGAACTTCAGATTTGAATACCAGCCGGGTGTCAGGGGCCGGACCTAATTTCCAATGTTTTTCTTAGGCTTAATTTTTTACACATAAATATTCATTCATTCTCATCCCCTTTATGCATTTCTGGGTGGAGGGGGTGACAATCAGAGTTGGAACAAAATCTTCATAACCACCAGCCCCTCACTAGATGACATAGCCTTGGTCTTTCAGCAGGGGCTTCAGACAGAGTAGGGTTAAGTGTCTTGCCCAGGGACACAACCACAGCAGACGTAAGTGGGAGAGGGTGAAGTAGGTCTCGTGGGGGAAACAAACCCACGACCACTAGGCCGGAAGACCAATGCTCGACCGAGTGAGCCACTGTCAATGTCATATTGTACATTATGGCAGAGTGGCACGACTGTAGCCTCAGAGCTCTGCATGCAGCACAGAAGGATTTTATTGTCTTTATATAATATATCAACTGAGGAGGGTTCATGGCCTGATAGAAACGTACAAAGGACCGCAGCGTTTGCCCAACACTGTCTTATACCAAACATTTTATTACATTGTTGTTATTGTTTGTACTGTCCAGTACTGTATCGTCATTTTGTTATTTTTAGGGATGTCAAAATTATCGCGTTAACTCACGTTAATTACATTTTTCATTAACACGTAATTTTTTTTAAAACGCATTAACGCATGTCCGAATGACCCGCCCATTTATCCATAATATCACTCAGAATGCTGCGTGTGAGATGGCATCAGAGCAGGTAGGCCCTCTGGGAATTAATGTTTTAAAAGAATACGCGTGTGACCGCCCCGCGTTTGACCGCCCCGCGTTTGACCGCAAGGCTGTTGTTTGCTGTGAACTGAAGTCTGGCTCCTCCGCGGCCGCTCTGGTTGTGAGCCGCTAACAACAACACGGCTGTGAGCGAATGGCGCTGCGGTTACATGGTCATATAAGACCATACACACCACAGAACTATTCTCTGCATGTTGTGTTCGTGTCTTTGCAACCTGTGCGTAACCTATCCACGCAAATACACCGCGAAATTGGAGTGGATTTGAAATAGAATGTTAAAAATGCGATTAATCATGAGTTAACTCACCATTTCTGTGCAATTAATCAACAAAAAAATCTAAAAAATCGTCTGGTCCGTGAGTTGAATGAGAGACAGGGGTTTGGAATAGGGATACAATACTAGCATTGGAAAACCATACCGACATCGGAAATATTGTTGGATCAGGTATCAGTTTAAAGATATCGGGAAACCTGATTGATACCCTTATTAGGTGATATTAAGCAAGAATGTTGACTTTCATGCAAATTAAGGTGTTTCTGTAATTGGCAGAACAATAGTTTGAAAAACACAATTGGACACATTTTGGAAGAATTTAGCCGTGACTTGGTTTTTACAGGCCCTTCTCACTTTATCAAGATCGGTATCAGATACAAAAAAAGATGGATCGGCAAGTGTCAGTTTCATCCAAACCCTTTTCAAAACATGTGTATCTGTTATTTTGTACTGTGAAATTGCGTTGGTACAGGTGTTAAAATAAACATTTTGATTGATTGATATGTTCTGATGCCAATAACATTATGCATAATCCAGCTGAAGACCATTACCTTGAGGGAAAATACAATCTTTTAATGAAAAACTGTGACTTTTTTATATATCATAACTAGTAACTAGTAATTATTATTCTATTTTAATGATTAAGCTAAATGTGGCAACAGGTGGACAGAAATGACCGCTGTGCTCATGATGAAGACATCAGCCTCATGGAATTCAGAAACCTGTCCAAGCTTTGTTACAGGGATTTGCATCATGTGCAGAGGGAG